AAAAAAAGAAGGCTAAGAATGCTCTATATACATAAATCCAGGTCACTTTATTAAAGCAATAAAAACACACTCAGTAATAAGAGCGGGTCAGTCCCACAGCTCAACGCACTCTGTAGTATCTGACTGACAGCTCAGGTGCACGGACAGATTGGGCTGTGGCTGGAATAAACAAACTCCTCTGCTCCGAACTGATGCCTGGACAAGCTCCGCCCTACGCGTTACGTCATGGATGACTTTTTCGATATCAACAGCCTAGTCATATGAGCTGTCTAACAAGGTTTCTGATTCTCTCACCAAGACAAAATGTTTTTCAAGTAACAGAAGTTCCAGCTCTGATGTATTGTTTGCCAGACATCATGCATTTGTAAACATACATTTTAATTTTTTTGTTAACATTTAATATTTTGTCATTGCTCAATGTTGATTTACAGTTTTATTCTGAAACCATTTCTGTGCTGGACCAGATTTAACTTTACAATAGTCAGCAACTGTGTTTGCTACAGGACACTGTGCATTTTACCTTTCTGAATAATCCCACGTCTCCAAAAATGTATACAAGGTCACAAACAAAACGCACAATAATGAGCTCACGCAAAGATTGCAATGATACTCCTGATCCTCAAATATAACAGTTTACAATTCAAAACAATGCAAAAGGTCAAACAGATGACTAAATCAACATCTGGCATGATTCTAAACAAAAGAATGTTAAAAAAAAACATACTTAAAAGGCAAACCTTTTTCTAGTTTTGGATAGAGTGCAGAGGGATTAGAATGCCTGTCAGGTTTTAAATCGCTGTCTGTGCCCCCACTAAGGAGACTCATCCTCTCTATTTGGCCTGTTTGCCATTAATATTGAAAGTGAAAGTAAAAGAAAATCCCTAAATTTGGATTGTCCCCAGAAAAGTAATCATCCATTGCGGACAGTAGTTCTGGTGGCTGGGGGTCCTGAAGGAATTCCCTTAATTTGCAGGGATTTCCCCTCACTCCCTGTTTGTCTATGGGACAGGAAGTAAAGGGAAATCTTCACCATGGGACACATATGCAGGAAAAAATCGGACAGGGGTCATAACCCTCCCTTCCTCTATTCAAAATGAAAAAAAAAAAGTTTTGCCTTTAGTTCTACTTTAATAAATGTGAGTATCACACAACAACAAAGATGCCTGAAACATGGGACAACTATTTTTTACATCTTTTTGTATTTTTTACAAATTTTTTACTTTTGCTTGTACTGTTTCTAGATGTTCCTGTCTCATGCGTGGTATACCAATATCAATACCATTTGGACAGTGCCTTACAGAGAATTCTAATGTTGAACAAATTGGAGGAGCTAGTAAAACAACTCATATTGGCAAATGTTAACAAGCAAGAGGTTAATCACTTAACCTCTCAGCAGGTGCAACACTTGACTGTGACCCACAGGGCCTCCTTAGAAGGACAGCAGCAAGTGAATTTATCTCAACAGCAGCAGATACAGGCCCTGTTAGAGAGGAAGAATGAAATGCAGGGGTCAACATCTACACTTCAAAAGCTAGTGTACAGTGCTTTATGGAAGTTGTCCCCAGAGGAAAGTGTTCAGGCCTACAGGTTCATTCAGAGAGATGGTGAAAGTTAGAGGAGGCTACCCCAGAAGCAGTGGGCTTATGTGCTGGCCTGTTTTTAACTGAGGATCTCCAAAGGTCTACTTTGTTGTACAACCTCAAGATGTCAAGGAATATCCTAAACTGCAAAAAGAAATTCTAGTTAGGATTGGGATTACCATGGCTGACAGAACACCATGGGTTCACATGGCAATATAGCCCTGGGAAGCCCACGAGGCCTTTATGTACAATTTGTTCTATAAACAAGTGTTTGCAAGCAGAGGTGCTCAAGCTTGCACTGATCGTGAAGCAAAATATTTGTGACCATGACATCCAGGCTTTACCTCTTAAGATGGCACATTAGACATACAGAGTCCAAGAGTGTGGATGACATACTGCTACCAAGGACTAGCTCTGGAATTTGCCCTTCAAACTGATAACCCTTGAAAACAGGAATACATCAACCTCAGACTATTCCTTTCTATTAATGGGGTAAACATTCTCCTAAGGAGGTGGGAGAGACACCTATACAGTAGGTGCCAAATATGACCAACCTGCTAGCCCAAAAGGAGTCTCTTCCTTCAGTGAAACATGGCATTTTAGGTGCTGGCAACTCAACTCAAGGACTGGGACTTGTGGCTGCCAATTGGCCTATGTTATACTGTAAGAGCCTATGGAATGTGACCTGAGGAGGCATATGTCAATATTTGCCAAGCCTTTTCTTGCAGCACTTCGAGGAACTGAGACTGGAAGACCGATATGTCCAATGTCAATAGAAGGACATCCAGTGGAGTCATTAGTACACTCTGGAAGACTTTTAACTTGTGTCCCCGCCAGTCTGTCAAGCTTGGTCCAGACTGAATGGGAGTACTTCATATGAATGGTGATGTCAAAGACTACCTATTGCATTGCTGTCAGTGAAGACTCCTAGTGCGAGGGGTGTTTAAGTCAACTGAACTTTAGTGGAATGTTCACCCCTTTCATCAGAGGTACCTGACACTTCACACTGTCTCCTGTTTTACTTACAACATGGTCATGGTTGAAAGTCAGAGGAACCTGCCCTAGTGTCAGAAATACAAAATATACCTGTGACCAGGGAAGATTTTGGGACTGCACAGTTACAGTCCCATAGTAGTAGTGAGTAGCAGTGTATTTTTGGATTTGGCACTTATATTCATCCATTTGTCCCCTGTTTTTCTGACAACATGGTGCTTCACATCTAATGCTGTTAGTACAGTGTTCTGGTAAAGCCCCCTTGCTCATTTTTTCCCAGGGTCCTATTTTGTTTAAATCCCTCCTGGTGTTGAGTATTTTCTTTAAAATTAGATCTAAACTCAAATCTCATATAAGCTTTAACATGTTACTGTAATTTCAAATGATATCTTCAATCTTTTAAAACATGCAGCATACATTTAAACTGTTCCATGTAATCTTGCCACAAAGGTCTTTGCTCAGACAATTCCTGTTAGGAGGTCACAGCTGTCTCCAGTTTGTGCTCCTACATTGTCAATATATCACTTGCGCCCTCCCAGTGGAGACTACAAACAATTGTAAGGATGCACAATGCCCAGGTGCACTCTACGGTGGTTACTTTCAGGAAGCTCCAGGGCAATATTTGTAAGCAACATTGGAGTGCATGTAGATGGGAAATGACTTGAAGATGCTAGAGGGAATCAGCAGCACTTAGATGGAAAAGAGTTAAAAAAAAAAAAACTTTATTTTATTTTAAACAGGTTTATGATGTACAGTGTTTTAGTTAACTTTTATGTCATCCAGCTAGGGTATAGATCTACTTTAAGCAACTAAGTTATGTGAAACTAGATGTGATACCATGTTGATCCACTCAAGCAAACATCTATAAAGTGTGACCTCTTTTGTCCCATTTCTATCTTTTGTATGTTTGAATTATGTATCGGGATCCCTAAGATACATTGTACATATACCCTCCCTCCAGGGAGTGTTGATTTCTACTCTGCTCTTTTTACTTTCTTATCGTATTAGTTAATTCTGTCCCTATTAATCTCCAAGAAAATCCAAACAGGAAAAGATGTAAAGTGCAAACAGTTTATGTCTGAGCAGGGAAAGCAGTGCCAGGAGCTGTGCACACTAAGCCAACAACAGTGTACGGATGGTAGTGGGGGTGGTGGATACAGGGACAACAAAGTGCACACTGTAAGGGGGGATTATTGGATCACAAGGAAAGATTTGGTCATTTCTGCTGTAGATCTCAATGGGTGAAGACAGAAATAAGCGGGGCGCCACAACTCGGAGCTGAATGGTGAGTAACCTTCTAATGACAAGACTTTATGATCATTGGACTGTCATGGTGAACTCTGTTGGTAATTAGTATTGACTACATAATACTAAATAGAAGAATTGATACCCTGACCCATCTAATACTCCAAATGGGTACACAACATTTCTCCTAAGATTCGATATTAAGCTCTGCCCACATACAACTAGAAAGACCTATGCCTGGCAAAAAGCTCTTAAAGGGCCAGTTATCCAAACATGACCAAATGACTCAATTTTACATTAGAAATATTGTTTTGATATATTTATGGCGTACTATATATGGGGATTTTTATGAATATTTTTTCAAACTATTATATGAATATGCAACTTACAGTACCCCAAATGACCACCAGGCGGATTTAGTGTCATTTATTTGCATACGGTGTATACTATGGTGTTGATTTACTAAAACCATAGAGTACAAAATCTGGTGCAACTTTGCATAGTAACCCGTCAGCTTCCAGGTTTTATTGCCAAAGCTTAATTGAACAAGCTGAAGTTAGAAGCTGATTGGCAACCATGCACAGCTGACCCAGATTCTGAGTGCACCAGTTTTAGTAAATCTATCCCTATATAGACAGTGCAACTTAATTCTATGTGGGAGAGCTCAAGAGCTTTGTAGTTATGTGTTAGTTGAATATATTATTCCTTTTGTTGGCTTGCCACATTTTTACTGTAAACTGCATATTATGATTTCACTGTATGAAAATGTAATACTAATAAGCAACACAAAACATAATATGAACAATATAATATGAAATTTGTAGCATGACAAATGTTCTTCCACAAAAATGATCTTGCTATTGTGAAGCTACATGTGATTTAATTATCTGTCTACGTTTTTGAAAGGGATAATACTATGTAAATTCCAAGGTGGTATATAATCTATATTGACAAAAGTATTGGGACAGCCTTCCAAATCATTGGATTCAGGTGTTCCAATAATCTCCATGGCCGCAGGTGTATAAAATCAAGCACCTAGGCATGCAGACTGCTTCTACAAATATTTGTGAAAGAATGGGTCACTCTCAGGAGCTCAGTGAATTCAAGCGTGGTACCGTGATAGGTTGCCACCTGTGCAATAAGTCCATCCATGAAATTTCCTTGCTACTAAATGTTATATGGTCAACTGTTAGTGGTATTATAACAAAGTGGAAGCAACTGGGAACAACAGAAACTAAACCACAAAGTGACAGGACATGCAAAATGACAGAGTGGGGTCAGCACATGCTGAAGCACACAGTGCGCAGAAGTCTCCAACTATCTGCAGAGTCAATAGCTAAAGACCTCCAAACTTCGTGTGGCCTTCAGATTAGAACAACAACAGTGCATAGAGAGCTTCATGGAATGGGTTTCCATGACTGAGTAGATGCATCCAAGCCTTAAATCACCAAGTGAAATGCAAAGCATCGGATGCAGTTGTATAAAGTACACCGCCACTGAACTCTAGAGCAGTAGAGACGTGTTCTATGGAGTGACGAATCAGGAGAATGGTACTTGCCTGATCGCATTGTGCCAAGTGTAAAGTTTGGTGGAGGGACTATTATGGTGTGGGGTTGTTTTTCAGGAGTTGGGCTTGGCCCCTTAGTTTCAGTGAAAGGAACTTTTATGGCGTCAGCATACCAAGATAATTTTTTGCTCCCAACTTTGTGGGAACAGTTTGGGGATGGCCCCTTCCTGTTCCAACATGACTGCACACACTGGTGCACAAAGCAAGGTCCATAAAGACATGTATGAGCGAGTTTGGTGTTGAGGAACTTGACTGGCCTGCAGAGAGTCCTGACTTCAACCTGAATGAACACCTTTGGGATGAATTAGAGTGGAGACTGTGAGCCAGGCCTTCTTGTCCGACAACAGTGCCTGACTTCACAAATGCGTTTCTGGAAGAATGGTCAAACATTCCCATAGACACACTCCTAAAACCGTGTGAACAGCCTTCCCAGAAGAGTTGAAGCTGTTTGCTACGAAGGGTGGGCCAACTCAACCTTGAACCCTACGGACTAAGAATTTCACGTGCACGTAAAGGCAGGTGTCCCAATACTTTTTGCAATATAGTGTATATTGTACTAATATATATATCTATATATATAATGGGAGAGAGCCAGGTGCAGGCACTGTTATATTAAAGGAAATTTTATACTAGTTTATAGTCAATTTACCTAAATGTACATTTTACTTAAAGTGTTACTAAACCCAGGATCCTGCATTCACTATATCTGGTCTCCCACAGTACACAGAACATGAAAATGCAATTATTTTAGTAAATATAAACTGCTAAATACCTTTTCTCATCAGCAGTTAGAGCAGTCTTGTGACTTCTATCATTCAGCAGAGCACTGGTTAAAGCTTGTAGGAGGAGTTTTATTTTTTTACTCTAGGAGGATGCAGAACCCATGAACTCTGTCTGAACAGTGCTGATTGGCCCTGTACTGATCACATGCACTCTTCCAAGAAAAATAAAAACCCTCTTTAGCAATACACACCAAACTGGGCATGTGCAGAGTGTCTCCACATATTATGTATTATCAGGCGATATGAGGGGGACACTAGAAGGAGAGGATCAGAGAAGTCAGGATCAAACAGCATTTTTACAAAATGCAGAGGATTAAGCCCTTAGGTTCCACAGTAAGTTTATCAAACATGCTTTACGGCATATACAGACTGATTTTACTGTTGTGGGTTTAGTAACACTTTATTGATACAACTTTATAAAATAACCTCACAGTACGTCCCTTTTTTAATTTCTTGTATAAAATTTTCTTATTGGAAATAAACATTTAGGTGCACTTAGCATCTGCTCTTTTTTTTCTTCTTGTCAAATTAATGTTAAATAACATGTTAAGTATAAAAATGACAGGTATTTGTTACCTTCCAGTAAGATCACATTGCTCCTCCTGAAAATACACTCTTCTACTGTTATCCCTATAAGGCCAGAACGAGTTATGTTCAGGCTTCATGCTGGGTTAGGGTCTATTCCTGGACTACAGATCAATTTTTTTTTTATTTTGGATTAGGGGAAGAGTTAGTACCTCTATAAGTTTTTGGTGTTTTTTGCTATATCTCTACTGGGAAGTTTCAAAAGTTTCTGTCATCCAGACAGAATGAATTGAGAAATACTAAATGTTATGGGTTGTACCAGAACAAGAGGTGGCAACTGTTCATTGACTTCAGAGAGATTTCAACTCTCTTCCTGAAATTAAAAAGAACTCCCCTAATGGGATGCAGACAGCAAAAGTGGGGAAAAAAAGACCAGAAATATTTGTGGTGGAACTGACTCATGCACTTAAAATATTATTTATATGTATATATATATATATATATATATATATATATATATATTCCACATGAGGCAATAGTTTATTACCAGAAGGAAATATTGGAACTTCCTGCTTCCATTAGACTACATTGTTTCAAACAAGTGTATGACCTTCCTTTATGGCACATACAGCCCCAACACAAGGACTTTGGCCATCTTGCATGTCAGGTACAGTTGCAGAAGGTGTCATCCCAATAAGATGCCAAAGCAACATCTAATATCACCTGGTAATTAGATTCCAGCAAATATACCCACTGAATATGTGAATATGCTGCCACTTTAAGAAGGGAAAGTAGCCCAGATATGAGGATAACCTTCTTAACGGCTAAGTTTGCCTTTTCTGGAAAATAGCCTATGCAGTCAAAGGGCCCCATTGTATATAAAAAAAAACTATGTAGCTCTGTAAAATGTTCAATAATATTATTATCATATCGGTATGGTCAGTAGGCAAGAGGCTAGCCTGCAGTCCCCAGCAAAAGACCAGGCCATTCGGGTTCCCATGACTGGAAATCATACAGTTAGCAACCTCCATGTCCTGACTTGATGTTAGGATGTGAAAACCATTGGTTTTCACTCCTGCAATGCTGGGAGTGCTCATCCAACCAGTTTCTTATCCTACCAATCCTACCAATGGTTTTCTACATAGCAGTCCCCTTCCTCTTCTTCTGGGGTCCCCTGCCAGTGCTCCTGGCTCCTCCACCTTGACCAATGCCCTCAATAGCCAGCCACTTGCTATGGGAGTACTGGTGCATGCTTGCTCCCAAGTCCCACACTATGCGTCCATAGGACACATAGAAATGTGGCTTGGCCCTGCCCCCATACTCTCTTCATTGGCTCACTGGCTGAGATTGACAGCATTGGGAGGCAATGGCTCCCACTGCTGTGTCTCAGCCAATGACAAGAGAGAGACTCGGGACAGCTGAGACTCCCAAGCACATCGCTGAATCAAGAGGGGGCTCAGGTGAGTATTGGGGGGGCTGTGGGGGGAACTACACACAGAAGGTTTTATACCTTCATATATAGAATGCATGAAGGTAAAAAGCCTTCAGCTTTTACAGCCACTTTAACCACTTGCCGTCCGGCCGCTGTATGTAAACGGCCAGAAGGGGGCAGTGCAGGGGCGGGTTGCCGTTCATAAACGGCGCCAGCCACTTTGGACTGTGCGCGCTCCCTGGGAGCGAGCAGCACCACGGTCCAGTGCCCGCTGTGTCCTCCAGACACAGTGGAACACCGATCGTCATACGGGACCTCTGTGCTAGGTCCCGATCATGTGATCACTGATTGACCAATCAGTGATCACATGCAGAGTAGTAAGCAAGATGTCACTTCTGACATCATTGCTTACTACGTGTAAAATCTGTGAATGATCACAGAGGTCACATGGTACAAGGCTATTCACAACAGCCTTGTACCATGTGACAAGCTGTGACCAATCACAGCGCACACAGTATTTCTCAATGGCTGCAAGAATGCAGCCAGAGAGAAGGAGAAATTATTGCTTTTACAGCCTATATGGGTGTAAAAGCAATCAGTGTAAAAAAAAAAAAAAAAAAATCTTCATCACCCCCACAAGTAGTACAGTGTCACTATGGTGACACCGTACTGCTAGGGTGACAGTATGTAAAAATAAAAAAAATAAAATAATCTAAAAAAAAAAATTAAAATGTAAAAAATGTTTTTTTTATTTTATAATTTTTGGTTATAAACTAAGTTGGGGTTTTTTTTTTGTACTAAAAAGATAACTGAATACATTTTGGCCAAGATGTATGATGAAATATTATTTATTTGCAAAATTTTACAAGAAAAACACTTTTTTTCAAAATTTTTGGACTTTTTTATTTATATAGCAAAAAAATAAAAATCCCAGTGGTGAATAAATACCACCAAAATAAAGCTTTATCTGTCTCAAAAAATTGCTAAAAAAAATTCATATGGGTACAGTGTTGCATGACCGCGCAATTGTCATTCAAAGTGTGATAGCACTGAAAGCTGAAAATTGGCCTGGACAGGAAAGGGGTAAAAGTGTCCAGACTTGAAGTGGTTAAGCATACCTAAACCCAAAAACCCTTTGATGTGGTGGGTGCATCATCTTTCCTTTTTAAATTTTTGTTTTCTTTATTTTCACCTGGTTATCCTGCAAATAACACACATCCTACTGTCCTATGATGGCTACACTCACCCACTCTGTGCACTATATCTATGGAGGGAGCAGCATTGTCACAATAGGCTGCTCTGTAGCACTACAGTAGCACTACAAACATATCCTCCTCTCTTACTGCTTTCCCGCCGCCCTATAGTAGATATACTGGTATCCGGGTACTGGGGCTATTCGCGGCCTCGGCTGTCAATCACCGGGTCCCAGCCGGTGATTACTCACCAGCACCCAGTGATCGAGGAGCATTACCGACGGAGGGTAAACAGTACAGTCCTCTCCCCTGTCAGCTCCTGCACACTGCTATGCATGGCTTTGAATATCAGAGGCATGCAAAGCAGTGTGCTTACAGTGAAGCACACACACAGCACACAGTAAAACAGCACACAGTTAACCCTTTGATCACTCACAACACATGTTAACCCCTTCCTGCCCAGTGTTATTAGTACAGTGTCAGTGCTTTTTATTAGCACTGATCATTGACTTGGTGTCACTGGGGATGTCAGTGACACAAAGTCAGTTCCCCCCAGTGTCAGAGTGCCCGCCGCAGTCCCACTAGAAGTCTCTGATCACCACCATTACTAGTAAAAATAAAAATTAAAAACACAAATCCCAGTATATATACCACCATTTGTAAACGCTCTAGCTTTCATGTAAACCAATTAATTTACACATATTGGGATTCTTTTTTAGCAAAGACATGTAGCAGAATACATTTTGACCTAAATTTATGGTGAAATTTGAGTTTTTTACATTTTTACTGGACATGTTTAATAGCAAAAAGTCAAAAAATGTGTTTTTTTTTCTCAAAATTGTTGGTCATTTTTTGAGAGTGCAAAAAATTAAAACCGCACAGGCGATCAAATACCACTGAAAGAAAGCTTTATTCATGGAAAAAAAGGACATAAATTTAATTGTGTTGCATGACTGCGCAATTGTTAGTTAAAGTAACGCAGTGCCGTATCGCAAAAAAATGGCCTGGTCAGGAAGGGGGGTAAATCCTCTGGAGGGCAAGTGGTTCATTTTTATTACATGGGTGCCAGGGCAAACAGTGGTTTACAAAGGATAGCTTGGAGAGAAGATAAAATTGTTTAGGATTTCAGTTCCATTCACAGTAAAGCAGGGTATATACGTTTTTATTTGTTCAACCAGCAGATCCCTGCATGAACCAATGCTATGTGATGTAGGGATCTCTACCACTGAGCTATTGTATTCTGACAGGGGAGATTCAGAATACACTTATCATCTCTGCAGCCATTGGCCGAAAGCGCTAATTAACTGCTGGTTTTCCAACATGATTGTTCAACAGAAGTCAGTCATTAAAATGGATTCTGTTGAGCAGTCAGGGTTACACACAGACCAGACGTCAGCTGGTTCTTGTTGAAAAGATAAGGACACATCCAACAAGATCAACAGGTATTTTCTGTACTGGCTGAAAGTGTTCTTAGCCTAAAAAAAATGAAAACTAAAGCTGCCACTGCATCTAAGGGCTGGTAAGCTAACATAAATTCATATTTTGTTCTTGGGATTTTGATATACTTTAATGTTCAAAAGGAGGCAATGGAAGCTTACACAAATAACTACCTTCTACCCTTTTACATGTAGCAGAGTACTTTTTGTAAATTTATTGTGATTTGTTTTAGAAAGTTTTCTTGGTAGAAATATTGAGAAAAACTTTCATGTTATCTCTTTGTATTACACAATATCATAATCACACCACCCTATTAACAGGATTATCTATAAACATGACGGTCACGTACAGTAATCGTGTGGCAGATGCTAAACTTGGCACTTTCTCTCGGTTGCTTCTTCGCTGGAGAGGCAGCATCTACAAATTATTATACAGGGAGTTCCTCATCTTCATCGGCTTCTACTTCATTATCAGTGTAACCTACAGGTATCTAACCCGCTATGCATTGTAGCATCTAAATGTAACAGATTTGTTTTTTAGAATGTATTTCTATATTATGTTCACAACTAAAAATAAAAAATGTATTTCTATGTGGCCAGGAAATTGTGAAATATTGAATATGATGTAGCGCAGACCCCTGACAGGCCCAATTAATTTGTCCAAGGTTCTCTTCCCTACAGGGTGTGTCTTTTTAGGATTCAATGCTTGTTGAACTTGGATGTGGTGCAAGGTGGGTTTTGGGATACTCCGAATTCAGTGCACTAAGAAAGCAGAGGACACTCTTTGCCTTGTCTACGCTCTTCAGGACAATACCCATCTTGGTAGATGATAGGAGTTTAAGCAACTCTGGGACTTTACTGGTACTTGGATACCTCCATTCGATACTGGCCAGACACTTGTGTGAACTACCAGGCCAGATTCTCAGTGAACCCCCTTTGAATTTGCTTCAGCTCCTATCTGAAGGTAGGCCCCCCAACTCTCCCTGAACTGAAACCTTGATGAACTCCTGCCACTAGGGCAACAGCCCTTCAGGCTGGGGTCTTCTCAACTGAACAGGAACCCTGCTGCTCCAGGCCCCAGACTCTCTATACACTCTTCATCCATCTACCAGACATCCCCCAGTTATTGGCTGAGACCATGTATATATTCGGGCCCAAGGTCTGCCTCTGCCAACCCACTACATTCTAGAATCCAATAGAAGGCAAGGGGAAGCAGTTGAGCCTGCAGCTAGTGAAACCGTGAACAGAAAAAAATAATCATACACCGCTCCAATGATTACAGAGAGCTAAAGAACTACATTTACCTGAATCTTTCTAGCAACCTATTGTAGGAGGGTGTTACAATGAATACTTCATATTTGCCATATTTTGCCAGCAAGTGGTGCACTTGAGGCAGTTAATTTCTGCTGAATCATTTACCTGCTATGCCGTGGTAGCCTGGTGCAATTTGACTTCCTGCTATTTAGTTCTCTTTATGACACATACAACTGATTGAATCAGAGAGCTACTCCAGAGAAGAGACACTGGTTTCTGGACCAGTGATATTAAAGAAAGAAGATGACACTATAGAGGTAGGACATAAGAATTATGGTTTGAGGTCAGTAGGATGCTTCCTGAGGTCACATTAAATGTGCTTCCTCCATTGTTACATGTTTTTGGCCACCTAGCCTTATATTATATATTTTTGTATTCTTCAAACATTGTTCCATTATTGCAGGTTTGAATAAAAGAAAATGATAAGCTAATAAAACAAGGAGCAGTGTACCACCTTCTATTATGACTTTCCGGTCTCAGGGAACCCGTGCTAGTAATTACCATATCTACAGCTCATCTGATGGTCAGATGGAAAGAATGCTACTCACATTTGTGATCAATAGGAACAATCCCCCCTTCCACGTAGTTAAAAGATCATTGGTGTTAGTGGTTACTTAGAGGCACAAATTTCTTATTGCTCACGAAATCCCTAGCAACCTCTGGAGCAATTTTAGGGTTTCATGGAGCCTTGGCTGAGAAAGGCTGGACCAGAGCATCATGAGCCTAAGAAGGTGATCCTACCACCCAGGGGAATACTGGGCTAGGGGTGGGACATTTGAGTATTAAAAATATTTTTGGGGTTGATGGACCTAAGTGGAGATACTTCACCATTGAGGCATTAATCAGAGGGGGATCTGCAGTCAGTGATACGTTCTGTTCCCTGTTAAGACCTGGTATCACACAAAAAGGAAAAAGTGTTATCCAGTAATGGATAACAACAAGAAAACAGCGCACAACTGCCCTACTGTAGCTCCATTTATTGATAGTTAATGTCATAAAACCAATTGCACTCACATGGTACACTAGAAATGAAGCACTTTCAATATGATAATCCTCCTTCAACTCCTTTCCAGCATCAGTGGCATACTTCATGTGATGAGCTGATTAGTAAACAGCTCTCCCATCCTACTGAGTCCTAACGGAGCGTACCGCCTCTACTGCACATGCGCCTGGGCCAGCCGGAGCACACGCAGTGTTTACGCCTCTCTGCCCCGGAGAGGGGGAACGTCAGATGTGGTTGCTATAATGATGCGTTTCAGAGGTGTGGTATCCTTTGTCAAGATCCAAAAATACCAGGGACTTGTCACCGACTACATGTGTAAACTCTATGCCATATGTATTGCCACTTTACATGGTGGGAGTACCCAGGGTTTAGAACTTTTTGGGATAAAAGCTATCCCTATGTCAGTACCTGAGGGCGAGAGATTTTCCATATTATGTCAGCGTGAGGAATTCTGGATTTTCACACTGAACACAATGTCCCCCCAAGGGTTAAATGAGGAGCTTGAAATTAATTCCTTCATCTAACATTCATCAGTTAGGGTGCTATTGCGACTAGGCTCACCAGCCATGGCCATACGTTGCAGATTATGGAATTAGGACATAGATGGTATCAAAAAATCCCATTCATTTTTTATTCTAAGAATTTTTTAATCTGTTATATACAGTACCTTTTTAGTGATAGGGTTATCTCTGGATAATTGATAGACATGTGCAAATGTGGGCTTTGTGTTTATGTGGGGCCCTTTTCTGAAAGTATTACGACTGAATTTTATTGTTAAATGTCTTTTATTGTAACTGTTATTATATCAGCAATATATTCCTTTAGGAGACTTGAACACTTGGTTGTTGTGGTCCCACCGTCGCCACCTTTAGAGGAGCCCTTTTAAGGTCCAAAGGAGGATCATAACCAGGGGCGGACTGACCATTTGGAAACTCGGGTACTGTCCAAGGGCCCAGGGTCAGTAGGGGGCCCCATGAGATGCCCCTGGTACCTTTTTCATAGGCTTTTTTGAGTTTGGGCAAGGACACAGGGGCCTCATGATCCCCTATTGCCCGGGGGCCCCATGAGTTGTCAATCTGCCCCTGATCATAACATACTATATATAAGGCTTTGAGTGTTGCAGGTAGGCCTGACTTGACAAAAGAGGCCACGCCTCCGACACACATCATCATAGCACATTCCCTTCTCTCCGGGGCAGAGAGACATAAACACCGAGCGTGCGCTGGTTGATCCAGGCGCATGAGAAGTAGCGGTGGTATGCTCTGCCAGGCCACTGAGGGGAGCTGTTTACTAACCAGGTCATCACATGAATTATGCCACTGATGCTGGAAAGGAGTTGAGGAGGATTATCATATTAGAAGTGCCTCAGTGTACCATGTGAGTGCAATTGGTTTCATGATTTTAACTATCAATAAATAGAGTTACACTAGGGCGGTTGTGCGCTCTCTGTTTTCTTGTTTTGTTATCCAGATCAATCTCGGCCACCCTGTGGAGCCATTGGAGAGATGAAATACCTTTCCCTTCATTCCCTGCATTACCAGTCTGAGAGTTTGACAGAAGATCAGCACAGTAGTGACTTTGTCTGTTTGTAAGTCTTCCAGTACTGACTTTCTTTGTGGCTCTCAAAGATCATGTGAACTAATACAAAGGAAGCTGATGCTGAAATATGTAAAAAGCTACACTATATTGCCAAAAGTATTGGCAATATTGGATTCAGGTGTTTCAATCATCTCCATGGCCACAGGTGTATAAAATCAAGCACCTAGGCATGCAGACTGCTTCTACAAACATTTGTGAAAGAATGGGTCACTCTCAGGAGCTCAGTGAATTCAAGCGTGGTACAGTGATAAGTTGCCACCTGTGCAATTAGTCCATCCGTGAAATTTCCTTTCTACTAAATACAGTATTCCATGGTCAACTGTTAGTGGTATTATAACAAAGTGGAAGCATCTGGGAAAAACAGAAAATCAGCCATAAAGTGGTAGGCCATGTAAAATGACAGAGCGGGGTCAGCGCATGCTGAAGCACACAGTGCATAGAAGTCGCCAACTTTCTGCAGAGTCAATAGCTGAAGGCCTCCAAATTTCAGGTGGCCTTCAGATTAGCACAACAGTGAATAGAGAGTTTCATGGAATGGGTTTCCATGACCCTGCAGCTGCATCCAAGCCTTACATCATCAAGTGTAATGCAAAGCGTCGGATGGAGTGGTGTAGAGCAGTGGAGACGTATTCTCTGGAGTGACGAATCAGGAGAACGGTACTTGCCTGACTGCATTGTGCCAAGTGTAAAGTTTGGTGGAGGGGGGATTATGGTGTGGGGCCGCTTTTCAGGGATTGGGCTTGGCCCTTTAGTTTCAGTGAAGGGAACTCTTAAGGCGTCAGCATACCAAGACATTTTGGACAATTTCATGCTCCCAACTTTGTGGGAACAGTTTGGGGATGGCCCCTTCCTGTTCCAATATGACTGCACACACTAGTGCTCAAACCAAGGTCCATAAAGACATGTATGAGCGAGTTTGGGCTTGAGGAACTTGACTGGCCTGCAGAGAGTCCTGACCTCAACCCGACAGATTACCTTTGGGATGAATTAGAGCGGAGACTACAAGCTAAGACTTCTTATCCGACATCAGTGCCTGACCTCACAAATGCACTTCTGGAAGAATTCCATTAAACATTCCCATAGACACAATCCTAAACCTTCATCCTTCCCAGAAGAGTTGAAGCTGTTACAGCTGCAAAGGGTGGACCAACTCAATATTGAACCCTACGGACTAAGACTGGGGCGCCATTAAAGTTAATGTGCGTGTAAATGCAGGCATCCCAATACTTTTGGCAATATAGTGTATGTCACAATTATTATTTTCACTCCATAGATTCATAAACCAACAAGGCAATGTTGATGTGTGAATCTATAAAATTAAACTAATATTTAAAATTTTTAAAAAATAAAAAAGTTATGTTGTAGACCCTGGTGGGTGGTGGGGAAGATGCATGGGTAGCAGAACACATCATCCCCAATCTATTGGTTAATTTACTTTAGCCACAGAAGTTTGTCCCTACCTTGTAAAGGCTAGTTGGTTGTGTTTGCACCCTATCCCAACTGTGCGAAAGGCTTCAATGTTGTAGACCCTAGTGGGTGGTGGGGGAGATGCATGGGTAGCCGAACACATCACCCCCAATCTATTGGTTAATTTACTTTAGCCACAGAAGTTTGTCCCTACCTTGTAAAGGCTAGTTGGTTGTGTTTGCACCCTATCCCAACTGTGCAAAAGGCTTCAATGTTGTAGACCCTAGTGGGTGGTGGAGGAGATGCATGGGTAGCAGAACACATCATCCCCAATCTATTGGTTAACTTACTTTAGCCACAGAAGTTTGTCCCTACCTTGTAAATGCTAATTGGTTGTGTTTGCACTCTGTCCCAACTGTGCGAAAGGCTTCAAGTTCTCCCCTGCCCTCACCTGAAAACAACTTAAAGCCCCAAAAACATGATAAGAATATTGGACTGCGATATACCAAACTAGTCTGAAAAATGTTCCCCTCCCATCTTACCACCTATTCTGACTAACCTGTGTAAGAAAGATCTGTATACTTAAGCCCCGTACAAACACTATGAGAATATCGGACGAATGATCGTCCGGTTTTTTTTGCACGCTAGTCTTATAACGAAAGTGAAGAGGTTACTAACATTATGAAAATTCTTGTACGACAGAAAATAAAAATGTGATGTAATGTATTTGTATTGTATTTTCAGATGAAAACTGTGTTGATTAAATGAAAATCGTATGATCTGGTACCATACGAGAAATATTTTCGTGCTTGTCCCTTCAAATAATTTTGGACAAAAGCTGTGTACTAATGATCAGATTTTCGTACCATCATTTCGAAAGCGATATTTTTTCGTACAATTTTCTGATCATGTGTACTAGGCATTAAAGCTAATGAGTTTTTCCAGGATTTATGACTTTTTTTTTCTTTTTATGCAGTCATAATAATTCGCTGCTATCATTAATGACAATATGTAAATGTATTTCAATCGCTCAAAATTAGTGACATTTGCAGGATACAAAAGACTTATAAAGGGGATGAGTAATAAGATTTTTGCAAGAACTGATGGAACGGTCATCCTACTGCAATTTACGCCTCTGCTCTCAATAATGAGTCACCTAGTCATGGAAGTGACGTCTTTCCATTTGTTCTACAGGCTCCTTCTCAATGAACAGCAAAGGATTCACTTTGAGAAGCTGGCACTTTACTGTAACAACTACGCAGAGCTGATTCCGGTATCGTTTGTTCTAGGTAGCACATATTTATTTATTTATTACAGGTACTTATATAGCGCTGTCAATTTACGCAGCGCTTTACATATATATTGTACATTCACATTGGTCCCTAACCCTCAAGGGGTGTACAATCTAAGGTCCCTAACTTACATTCATACATACACATACTAGGGCCAATTTAGACAGGATCCAATTAACCTACCAGCATGTCTTTGGAGTGTGGGAGGAAACCAGAGCACCCGGAGGAAACCCACACAGGCACAGGTAGAACATACAAACTCCAGGCAGGTGGTGCCGTGGTTGGGATTTGAACCAATGACCTTTAGTACTGCCAGGTGGAAGTGCTAACCATTCAGCTACTGTGCTGCCACACATAGATTTTTTGTTCAAATTCCCTATTTGTATTGCAATGATTATGATAGATTCTCACATGCTACACAAGCACATTATAAAGATGTTACATATTACAATCTACCCATACAATCTTGGTACAATCAACTTTAGAGTTACCCAAACTATGTAATATGAGGACCTGCTTAATTCCTTCCATTAATTTGTTTCCAACCAGGCAGGTCCTTGCATTACATAGTTGTTGGTAGATCTAAGTTTGTACAATCAGATTTTAACATGTGTGATGAGCTTTACAGAGATAGGAAGCTACAATTGAAAATTGCACATGCAGCCCCACCTGCTGACAGATATGATATCGTTGCACATCAGGGGCGTTTCATGAAATCAGTGGGCCTATGTGAATAATCATAAGTTGGGCCTCAAGCTTGATTTAAAAAAATGCTGTGTGTTTAGGGCCACAGCAAAGAGTGGGCATGGTTTTTATTGTGCCAGGGGCATTGCTAGGATTGTAAAGGACCTAGGGCACAATTGGGCAAGCCAAGCAAAAGAGTAACGTGGCACTTGTAGTGCACCATGACGAATAGTGGGTATGGCCTAATTGTGTTAACAGTGTGAGAGGCTTAAGGGCATGGTTAAATCAAACAAGGTCAGTCTGTACTCCAGTACAATCCCCCTATGTCAGTCTGTCCAGCAGTATAACTCTTCCCTCTCCCAGTATAATCCCCCCCAGATCAGTCTGTCCCCCAGTTTTTTTTCTACATCCCCCCAACTATATCTGTCGCCCTATATAATCCACCCAGGTCAATCTATCGCCCGGTATATTACACCCCCCCAGCTCAATATGTCCCCCAGTATAACATCCCCCCCCCCCCCCCAGGTCAGTCTGTCTCCCAGTACCTCCCCTTGGTTGGTCTGTCCCCAGTATTATCCCCAGGTAACTCTGTCCCCATTATAATCCCCCCAGGTCAGTCTGTCCCCCAGTTTCATTCTTCCCCCACCCCCCAGGTCAATCTGTCCTCCAGTATAATCCCCCCAGGTCAGTCTGTCCCCAGTACAATCCTTCTCCAAGGTCAATGTATCCCCCACTATAATCCACCCCAGGTCAGTCTGTCCACCACTATAATCCTTTTCCCCCAGGTCAATCTGTCCCCCAGTACAATCTCTTCAGGTCAGTCTGTCCTCTAGTATAATCCCCCTCAATACATTCCCCCCACCCAAGGTCAGTCAGACTGACCTAGGGGGATTGTACTGGGGAACAGACTAACCTCCAGTACAATCCCTGCAAAAGTTGCAGAAATGTTTATCAATTCACTGTTTTTTCTAAAAATAACCCATTATTAGTACACAAAAAACACACAGCATAATTTACAAAATTAATGTTAAATGCCTAGAAAGGCCTTGTTCACATGGGGTGTACTAAAGCGCACTCCCATGTGAGGGCCGTGTTTACATGCATGGGGATGTACAGGTGTTCCGTGCATCCCTGTGCAGGCTGTTCTATTCATGTCAATTGGGATGCAGCGGCTGCACAGACACAGTTGTTGCTCCCAATCTGACATCTATATGGGTGCACAGCCCCGAACACAGACAGTGTGAGTTCAGAAACATGTACCCGCACCAACACAAATGTCTAGGGAAGAGCTGTGGCTGTGTCCTTGCAGCTGCTGCTTCCCAATTGACATCAATGGGACTATCTGTATGGGGATGCATGGAACATCTGTGAATCTGTGCATCCCCGTACGCACAACACTACCTGCCTAGTGTCATACGATTGCTTTCATTCTCTCTGTAATCAATCAGCTTGTGGGAAGATCACTTCATGTGTATGGCTGGTGTTTTGGGCGTGTATGACAGTATACTTCAATCTAATATTGTTCCTTCAGCCTGTGTTCTAAAACTGCATAGTCATGGGTTCATTCTATAATCAGATCTTTCCTGTTCTTTTGTTTTCATGCTATTTCTGATCTCTAAATAACACCATTGTAGCATACATTATACTTATCACATGTGTAATTGTCATTACAGGGTTGCGTAAGCAAACTATGGCTCTTGGTAAACACTGCTGCCTACACATGAATGAGAGGTTTAAACAGGTTTAAAATCAGATTATAGTCTTAACAATGTTTAATGATGCTGTTCTGCATGAAAGAATATTTATAGCTTCTGGATATTTGTGTTACATACTCACAGTGATTGTGTCTGTTTGCATTATGATTATAAGTCACATAAGCTGCACAACGTATCATCAATAGCAAGGAATGATGAAAGCTTTGTCCTTCATTTCAGAAATAAATGGGCTAATAAATATAAGCATGCATATAAAAGATCACTACCTCATCTATGATAAAGAGACTATCCTATAATAATTGCTGAGATTTGCTAACATTGTTGTTATTGCTTATAAGAATCCCTTAAGCCAGGCATCATTATGATGGACCGTGGTCCAGATCCGGACCAAGTCAGTGTCCCATCCGGACCACTGTGGTCTCCCCATTTAGGAACAGCCTCTTCCCTGGCCTCTGCGGCTGTCCTTCTCACAGCAGAGTGGAGAGTGGGAGGCAAGATAGTCCTTAAAGCAGACTTAAAGCAGAGCTCTACCCAAAAGCAGAAGTCCCGCTTTAAGGACTGCTCTCCCACTCTCCATTAAGGATTGGCACC